GATCGCTATCGGTGTATGCAAGCGTTGGCCTTCTCCCTCGGTGACAACTGTTCCAATGAGTTTGGCAGCCACAACTTGTGTTTTATTTATTGTTAAGCAAGTGAGGCCAAGGCTGCTTTGCTATAGTAGCAAAAGAAGCTGAATACCGAACCGCATGTGTGACTGTGTTGGCTTCCTCCCTCCTCTCCGCAGGCTCCCTTGGCTGGCAGACGGGTCTACGGTCACAGCGTGCTCCGAAGAGCAGGAGACACCCGAGGCACAGCCCTGTGGAGCAGGTGAAGAAGCCTGCGATATTCGGGGCACGGCAGGAGCGTCGCCCAACTCTGACTGTGTCCGTCGGGAGCCGGTGCCAGAGCTTTCATCCCAAAGGAGAGGTAGGAAGTGCTGCGGGGAGGCAGGGATTTGATTGTGCAATTGGATCTTTTCTTAATTCTTGCAAATGCAAAAGCTAAGTCTGCAGTTGTTTTTGTCCCTTTAAGAGCACTTCAGCTGCACTTTGAGAAGCCTCCCTTATGGGAAGTTTCTCCCTTTTTTCTCTTTTCTGCAGTGCTTGGATTGATCTGCTCCAGACCAAACATTTCAAGGAGTGGTTCAAAGGAGACGAGGGTCCGCACGGAGGCACAGCTTACATGTGGTTTTGCAGCCCTCTAGGTCCCTGCCCTCTGGAGAAGCCCTGGGACAGTTTGTTCCAGCGGGTTTGTGTCCCGGTGCAGTTCAAAGCCGAGTTAATGTTTTACATCAGGCCCCAGTAAATTAGGCACAGCAGCCTTGCCTCGCTGGAGTTTGATAGCAGTTACCATTGCACGCTGTCCATGCTGCCGTGCCGTGGTGATAAAAACAAGAACTGTTGCCTAATCCTTCTAACAATGGCTTGTCTATATGTGCATCTGCATCTGTCTGCTGTCTCAGAGTGTTATTTCATCCCATCAACAGAAAAATGTGCAATGCTTTCTAGCAGTAACAGGGCAAATACTTAACCAGCATCATTTAAATTATCCCCCCTGGGTGTTTATGTGGCTGGGATATGTGGTTTGTCACATTTAAGAGTTTTGGCCAAAGAAAACGACATAGCTATGCCTTAATCTGAGCTCATAACAAAATACTGTGCACCTGAAACTGGGCGTCGAGCTGCTGGCCTGCTGCAGACCTCGGCCGCGTGCCTGGCAGGAGGTTGCACTGACCTTCCTTGCTTTCCAAGTGTATTCCTTATCTCCAAAGTGCAGTTGGAGAAAGGTATGAGAATGCAGGCGTGGACACCGGGTGCTGATGTGCAGCCAGATAAAGTGATGTGTTCAGGTTATAACAGGCAACATCAGACTGGAAATAATTAAACGGGGTTTTGGATTGGAAAAACGAGACATTCCTGGTGCCGGCTTCAAACACTTGCGTGGGGCGAGATTGGCCCCTCGGACGGGCTCGGGCAGGGGTGGCTGCATCGGCGTGGACTGTTGGAGTGGGAACCCGATGCAAAGCGCGGTCACGGGTGGAAGAGAGGAGAGGGTTGGGGTCGAGGCCCCCAGCTGTGTCAGTGGGAAATGCAGGCCTGTGTGGGGGCCCCCGTGGCTGCCTCGCGGCCCCGCGCGCCAGTAGTGCAGCTCTGCTTTATTTTCACCGTTGCTGTAGACACTGTTGTCAAGTCACAGCGCTGGCCAGCAGCGAGCCCTGTTCCTTCAGCATATCCCTCTCCCACCTCCTTCTTCCATCCCTTCATGGGTTTATTTTGGAAAAAAAAGCTGTTGGGAAAGGCAGCGGTGGCTGAGGCGAGCTGAGGTGCCCGGGGCCAGGCCGAGGCCGCCGCGCGGGCCCTGCTTCTGGCCCCAGACCTGGCCACTTGATTTATCCGCACGCTCCCAGGCCATTAATCCCGCTTTCATGAAGCGGTGCCGATCCCACGTCCCTCCCCTCGGCCGCCAGCCTGCCCAGGAGGAGCCGGCAGAGCCAGCGCGGGAGCCGCGCGCTCCTCTGCAGACCCTGTGACCCTGCGGCGCGCCGGCGGCACCTCAGCGCGGCTCTTCCATCCCGGTCTGGGTCTTACGTGTGTCTCGCAGCTGGGAGCCGATTTGGGTGTGTGTTAACATGCATGAAGTACAACGTAGGGGCTGGAAAGGTTGCGTGCGGTTCTGCGCTCCGCTGTGATCCGGATGAAGCTGGAGCGGCGGCCAGGTGAGCTGCGGCACCAAGAACGGGGCTTTTGCTAGCAAGGTGCGTTGGCGGCCACCGTCAGCGCCTCAGTGCGCGACGCGACCCCGGGCACCGGCCAGCACCGGGACCTGGGTGGCAGCCACCGCAGCCCCTCACAGCCCCGGCAGCGCGGCCAGCTCTTCCCAAGGGAGCCCCGCGGCTCCCAGAGCCGCTCACGTGCTGGCGAGCGCCTTTGGAGCCGGGGGCACATCCGTATCCTCTGCAGAGCCCAAACTTCTCCACATGACATAAGGAAACACAGTAACTTAATTTTCCAAAGACCTTCTTCCTGCCTGCCTTCCAAAATGGAGGCCTTCGGTTTAAAAAGGCAAAAAAAGAGAGAAAGACCCGCTTAAAACAAAAGCCCAATGAGTATGGTAGCCCTTGCTCTTTTGCAAGTTAAACACCTCATCTTTCTGTAACAAACAGCTCTAAATCATTTTATTTGCAAGCCCTAAGCAGGAATTTGTATTCAGGGTAAGACATTTATTGAGTTAATTTATTTAAGGCTGGGGCATAATTTCTAATAATGGAAGAGTCTCTAGGCCCAGTGAAATTGTCTCCCTGATAGGGCATTAATATTTTAAGGGGTTATAATACTCTGTCAATTGATCTGTGTCTTTTAGGGAGTAGGTTAGCAGTTACTGATGATTGCTCCTATGAAGGATTATCTTAAATAAGGGCAGCGCTCGGCGGGCCGATGTCTGCCACGGGGCTGCATCTGCTCCTGCGGGAAGATCCTTCGGCTCCTGGGCAAATAGGTGGAAGATAAACAGGAGGGAAATGCGAGCACGAGCCTGCAGGGGAGCTGCGCTGGCCGTGCTTGGGCTTCATAGCCTCCTGTGCCCGGAAAAGTCTGGTGGCCGCCGGAATTTCCACAAGGTTTTCGTGTAAAATGAGGAATGGATCCAATTGAGGAAATGTTGGCCCCTGTTTAAAGGAGTTTGGTTATCCTGGCAGATATCCCCATCTTTACTAATTGAGGGGCAAATATCTTTTGATAACTTGACTCCTTCATAGTAGGATGTTCTAGGTCATCTGCAAGTAGACAGCTGGATGGAAACATCCATCTTGGCTTTACAATGTTTTATCCACCAGGGTGGATCCATGTGAGCACATCTTGCTGGGTATCAGCTCACAGGAAAAGCAGCGCAGAGGAGAGGAGGCGTCGGGACATCTCGGCCAAATGCCTTGAAGGTATTTGGGTGGAAGCCAGGCCTCAGGGGGTTGAAGCCAGGCTACCGCTGCGGGAGTCCCAACGCAGGGCAGCGCAAACCCCAAGCCCCATAGCAGGTACTGGAGCAGAGGGAGGGCTTTGGTTCTCATCCAGCTTCTTAGAGCCAACTGCTGTGGGCAGACAAGTCGCAGGCTGTTCTCAAGCACCGTGGTGGCTCCTCGTTACCGTCTGGAGGTGAGTGCCCTGCAACAAGCTCTCGGCACCTGCAAGATCACCCCATTAATGGTGGCGGGGGACCTGTCCGTCACACGTTCTCCGTTGGGTAGCCCGGCTGTGCCCAAGTGCTGCGGCAGCTGTAAACGGGGTGTAAGGAAAGTTAAATTCACATGAAGCTGCAGTGCCCTGCTGCGGGTGTGCTCGCTGGCCTCGAGGGTAAGCTCTTACTGAATTCGTATAAATTATTCCTTTTAATGCAATATAATGTAGAAGAATACATCTACCAGAAGCTAAATCCTGCTCTGGAGAGCAAGCAAGTCCTGGGTGGCTCTGCACGTGGCTTCTTTGTGGATACTGGAGTTTTATTGAGAAAAATGAACGTGGCAGGGAGGGCCGTGCAGTCGCAGCGTGGCTGGGGCTGGGCTGGCTGCAGCAGCAGCGTCGGCTTGTGAGTGAGGAATCGTCTGTGAGCGAGGAGGCGTGCGAGGTGTTCCGTTATTTTTATTGGCTATTAGCAAAGACCTTTTTCTTGCTTGGAGAATTGTTGTCCCGTCGCACTCCCCAAAGCTGTACGACTGACTGGCAGAGGAGACGGCGTAGTAGGTAGGAGAGTGTTGTGTTTCCAGCCCAAGCTAATTGCAGCCGGGTAGCGAGGTCACCTCGGCTGCTGCAGGGCCCTTCTTCTGATCAGTGCCATCCTGCAGAGGCTCCTTGGCAGGATGTGGCCGTGACCATCCTTACGCTTAAGGAAAGGTGTTTAATTCACCCACCGTTGCACGCAGGGAACATGATTCAGCATTGGGGTTAGAGCACCTTTACAGCCCATCACTAGGTCACCCACTTCCAGGCAAGCTTGAAGCTGTGGAGGTCTCGGGCCAAAAGCCAAGATTTAGTTCCTCTCCCAGAAAAGTCAACGAAACCCATTTTGAGCGGGATGATTTCACCCTGTACCCACTGCTGAGCCACTTGTCAATGTTCCTGTTAATAGCCCAGGTTTCTCCCAGGCACAAGCTAACAGAGCGTGGAGCTTCAGCAACTGCCTGAATGGTTTTTTTCCAGTAAATTCTTTCCCTGTGGTGTAATTCTCAACATCAGGTAACCACCATCTCATGCTGAAAGAAGAGGAGCCCTACCCAAAACAAGGTAGTAGCTAAAATCTGCTGATGCTTTGAAGCAACCAAAATTGTCACTAGAGTCTTTTGCCCAAAAAGTGTAAAGGCATCACAGTGTTGAAAAATGACGTAAGCTAGAAAGAAAAGGCAGCAGTTACTAAGAGCTGGGAGTGTTAAACATCACACAGAATGTGGTTCTGACTCTGCACCATTTCTTCTCCCTGTCCCCTTCCCTAAAATATATTTTTTTCTTACACCACATAATTTTGCTTTCTTTTCTGCTTTGCAGAAGAGCAGAGAAGTAATCTCCAGAGATGTTCTGCAGGTCTTTATGCTTCTTCAGTCTGTGCCTTTTCCTTCCAACCAAAAGGTAAGCAGTTAGTACCTCTGGGGGCTACTAACTCAGCTTTAAGGAGACAAGGAGAAAAACTTCACAAGAGCTTTGAGTAACTAAATTGCTGAGTTTCTTTCAACACCCTCTAGCTGTCCTGAGACTCTGGGACAAGGAAAGGCTCTGCCTTCACCACCTCCATCCCTTCGCAGAGCCATAACAAACTGTAACGATCCTCTTGTTTACATTGTCATCAAGTGACTACTTAACTACGTAGAGAATCGCACCATAAAACTTATCTTATTGCACTCCCCTAAGCTGTTTCTCTAGCTGTCTGTTTATGTGATGTTTCAGATCCAAGAGCCTCGCAATGCCAGGTCTTAACTTAATTGCCTAGCCATAAAATACTAATTTGTCCTAACGATAGCAGGCTGACGTCAGGTGCCCTATAAGGACAGCAGGCAGGTGCAGGCCGGGGTGCTTTGTGGCTGGATGTGCCAGTGTCTACAGCTCTGCCTCTCCCATCCAGAGTCCTCAGAGGTCTTACCCCAATGCTGGCCATGGGGATGCTGTCCCTCATTAACAAATGACGGCTCCTTTAGGGGATTAGTGCCTGGGAGAAGGAGCTCTTAGTGAGATCTGCCACTGGCTGTCATAAGCTTGAGGGAAGAAAAGGTATTTTCTTTATACAGATATTATGAAGGGAATCAGAAGGGGAGACAGCAGGTCATTAAGACCTGTAGGCCTTGCCTGATTTGTCTGGGACATGTTAAGAATGCCCTTAAATCGTCATGTTGCAAACCTGTGGATGATGCTTGAGGTCATTTGCTGTTTCCCAGCTCGTCATGGCACACACAATTCAGCTATATTAAGCAATAGGAACTATTGCTAGGAATTTCAACGATTTGTTCATTTTTATTGCATTTGATGCAGCGTGTTTGCTGGCCTGGGTGCGTGCCGGAAGCCCGGCCGCACGTGGCAGCTCCTGTTTGTGCTCCTAGGAGGACCTCCCTGGCTCAGCTGCCCAGCCCGCGCGGCCGCGGCGCCACGTCCCTCGCCGGCTTCGAGAACCTCACCACGGGCTACAACAAGTACCTGCGGCCCTACTTTGGCGGTGCGTCCCCCGGAGCATCGAGAGGGCTGGGAGGCTCGCTGGGATGGAAGGCTTGTGCTAAGGCTCCTCTAACATGCCCCAGTTCAAAAGATTAAGTCCCTGCTGATTAGCTAGTAGCGAAAGCCTGCCCTTATTTCCATGCATCCAGTGTTTCCTTGCATAGTTAGGCACGTGTGTGTGGGCTATTAGAGCACGTCTCTCTGTGAAGGTAAGAAGGGGGGTTTATGGACGTTCAACACATCCATGTAAGATGGGGCAGAGCAGCTGGACCTAAACTCTGCTCTCCTTGTTGCAGTTCTGTTTAGAGTCTGACTCTTGGGTGGTCTTGTTTATTTTTTCTTCATGTATCTCTGTTCAGTAAGTTCTTGCTGTTCTCCATGTCTGGTTGAACAGTTTCATCCCAGTGTCAGAGATATTATTTCCACTACAGGGGACCACAAATTACTTTTTAGACGGCCTGTTTTTAGGTTTTGCTCAACACACTTGGTGAAGTTTCTCAGAGTTACATTCAGCACCTGGAAAATACTGATGAAAGTTTCACTAAGAGTAACACTATGAAAATGTTGATCAATTTGGCTTTTCTGACAGAACTTGTAACTGAAACAAGGCTTGGCAGAAAAATTCTTCATCAGCTGTAGCTGGGACTTGCATGTTTGCTACACTAGCTCCTGCAGACTGGCTGCTGCTGCAAGTTGGTAGCTTCTTCCTCTTGCTTTTTTCACTGTGGTGATAGATTTCTGGGGCAATAAGGGATCTCATAGATTGTTACACCCAGGATGTCTGATCTCATGCAGGAATGTAAAGGCTTCACTGATACGTATCCCATAAATGAACAGGTGCTTCCGACTTATGCAATAGAGATTTAGATGCATCTACACCTAGTATAGCCATAAACGTAAAAAACAAACAAAACACAGAGTGCGGGTTTGACCTTCTCCAGAAGTCTAAAAGGTCTCTCATCTGGTCATTGATTTTAGTAGGTTCAAGTGTCTAAACATGTGGGAGGACCTTGCAAATAAGATGTAAGGATCTAAATAATAATTACTTTCCTTCTGCAAATGAATTTGGGGACAGTTACAAAAAAAAAAACAAAACAAAACAAAACAAAAACTCTAGAAGAAGCTGTAGCAATGAGGTGTCTCTGAACTTTCCTAAGTGCTGTTTCAAGACCTGGAGAAGGAGTTCCAGCAAGTCTGGCAAGGAGAGGCCTTGCTATGCTGGTCACTTGAGCAGAGATGGACGAGGTTTGGAAGGTGCTGAGGCCGGGCAAGTCCTGCGAGTGGTAGCGGATTTGTGCACACCAGGGACACGTCCCCACTGCCCAGGGGACAGATTCCGCCCCCTGGGCCCTAGATTCATACTGAGACCAGCTCGAGTTGAGTCTGTTGGGTTCTTCTGCTTTTATAATAATTACCCATCTCTTTCAAAGCTATTTATTACTATATTGCTGGACATGGTGAGTGTTCTCTAGCTGCCAGCAGTGACATTTCCTGGGGACGAGCTGCCCTCTTGTGGTAAATTTTAAGAGTTAATATTAAAAAAAAAAATCACCAAAATTTAGAGTTTTAAGGGGAGGGAAGCAATGGCTGTTACACTTCTGTTTTTGTTGCAGGCTGTTTTCATTGCTGATCATCTTGACTGCATATCTGTTTTTTTGACTTAGAGGCTCCCCATGCCTCCTTGATTTGACTGGAGGGTTAAGTCTTTCCATTTGACTCAACTGAAAAGTCATTTAAGACTCTTCAGGGAGCAGTGTCACTGCTTGTGCATTGATTGCTATCTCCTAGAAGCTCCAAAACTTGCATCAAGGAGAGATCACATTCAGCTGAGGGCGATGCAGGTTGGAAGACCTATGAGCCTAACTCCCTGACACGTAGCTTAGCCCTTTGGGCTGCTGCTGTTTGAGAGATGGTGCAACTGAGTACGGAGAACATGCTATGCAGGATCCTCCAGTCACCGTGCTCCTTTCTCTCTTCTCTCCCCTTAAACTCTTCTTTCCCTCCTCAGGAAAACCTGTTCAAATTGCAATGAGTCTGGACGTCGCGAGTATTTCTAGTATATCCGAGAGTGACATGGTAAGCAGCTTCGTTCTCATTTTTGTAAGAGAAGAAAATAGGATCCGAGAGACTTGCTGTATGTTGTTGTGTGTCAAGCTCAGAAGCTACCAGCTCGGCTCCAGCCTTCCTTGGGGGTCGCAGCGAGACACTTTGCTTCCCTGTGGCTGCTGGCCACTTCAGGGAGGAGAACGGGCCTCCTTTATAGCTGCAGACTGCTCAGCTGCAATGGTAACATGGGCTTGTAAGTAGAGATGGCTCCAAAAGGCCTACTGGCAAAAAAAAAAAAAAAAAAGACATAACAAAAAGCCTCAACGTGTCTTGCAAATCAACCCTTTGGAAATGGAAGAGCTCTAAGCTGATCTTCCCTGGGTGCCCTTGGATCCAGCAGTAGTCCTCTGCCTCCCCTTTCCCCAAGTAGTAACTGCTGACTTTGATGGACTAAGGACACTGCCTCGTTTCTTCTCAGGGAGGAGAGATGGGGCCATAGGGCTGAGCGGGACATTGGATGGTCTCTGTACACGAGAGAGAACATTTTCCCACCCCTTCCATCTCTGATACCAGCTGGGTTTCACACACTTTGTTACTGAAAACTTCTGTTTCAGGTTGACCAAAACTCTGGGCAACTTGGGTCAAATTCAGCAAGTAGTTTCAGTCAGAGAAAGGGTGGGGAAGTAGGAACAATTTTAACACATCGTTTCAGTATTTTCAAGAAGAAATGAAAAAAAAAAAAACTCATAGACAAATCAAGTCCACCAAATAAGATGTGGTAACACTGGTAGCTCTTTAGCTCTTTGTCCTGGGGAAGGGGCAGATCGACCCCTGAACCAGCAATTGCTTTTTCACGCTGCTCTCACTACAGGGCCTTTCTAAAACAGCTCCGTGTTCTTGCACGATCCCCTAAATGTCTCCAGTATCGCACAGAACATTGCAGAGGCTTGCTCTATACCCACTAAAATGTTTGAAATCAACCCAGGTTTTTCACTTTTTCCACTATTATTATTCACCATATTGAAAGCAGTAACGTTGCATCACTTCGGTCAGTTTTTTCCCCCCCCCTCTGTCGCAGTTTGAGAGTAAAATCTTAGAAGATTTTAGAAGAACAACGATCCTATTAACTGGTATTTACTTAGCAACTGGTATTTACTTAGCAACTTTTCTGTTAAAGCATTTTACAAATTGTAGATTGAATGAAATAGAGCTGCTTCATCCACTGCTGGCAGACAGCCATATCTGGGCTAAAACATAGCAGCTTAACGCTGTTCTGTTAACACTGCCAGTGTAGGTCTGTCCCCAAAAGAGATGCTTTGAAATTAGAAGGCATTTACTGCTTCATTCATCTCCTTCTATAAGGAAGAAAACAGGGTCCTGTGGCTGTCCAGAAGATAGGCTGCATTTTGAAGACTTATCTTCAGAGCTGAGCATCGTTTATTCTTTTATGATGGGGCAGTGTGGTAGGTTATTGGCAGGGTAAACTGAAGCTAACTTGATCCTAGTGTCCTAATATTAAAAACTTAACATTACAGAAAATGCTGCAAGTCGCTGGGTGGTGTTTTTTTTTTTTTTAATTTTCTCACATTTACAGAATATCTTGGAGTACAAGCAAGTGGGAAATATTTAATATAGTAAATAAAGCTGTAATGAAAATCTGTTGGCTTTATTGCATGCATTTGAAGTCCTTCTGATGTGTTCTTTAAATCTGTTTTTAATCTGTTGTTTAAATATGTTTTCATACATATTTAAATCTTCTGGCATGTGGTATACCCAAGGCTAATGCCACGCAGGGCTTCTGGATACGCATCTTCCCAGGTTTCCCTCTCTCTGCAGGATTACACGGCCACCATCTGCCTGCGGCAGCACTGGACGGACCCCCGGCTGGTCTTTCATGGCAACCAGAGCTTCACTCTGGACGCTCGCCTGGTGGAGCTGCTCTGGGTGCCCGACACCTACATCGTGGAGTCCAAAAGATCCTTCCTGCATGAGGTGACGGTGGGGAACCGCCTCATCAGGCTCTTCTCGAACGGCACCATCCTGTACGCCCTCAGGTAACTCCACCTCTGTGCTGCTGGTGGCTCAGAAAACCATTGGTGGTTTCCAGAATTGCGCTGGACTCGGGCAGATATCAAGTGTCACGGGTAAGGAGTTGGGGCTCAGGCAGGCAGCTTTGACAGTGCTGCTCTTATCCATCACTCACAGTCCTGAGGGCTTAAGAACTCCAGTGATGGATCAGGATTCCCCACCATGGTATATGCTGGGCCAGTTACGCAGGTAGGACAGGACAAGGCCTGCTCAGAAAGCTCCCAAGCTTTGGTGCTGCAGGGGATGGGACAGATAGTCGGATGGATTAGGGGAAGAAAGGAGGGAAGGCATCCTAACTCTAACAGTGGGAAACTATTTGCTTATCCAGAGCCACAGGGACATGATTTCTGCTCTTTAGCAAAAAGTTATTGTAACTGATACTGCCAGAATAGGCACCATGCTCACGTTAGCAGGTCTGGGGACACGAGCTCTTCTCCACTCAGAGTAACTCTGTGTCCCAGCAACCTCAGGTGCAAAGTAAGGTTGCTCCAAGCTACTTCATTTACCCTGGGACAGGTCACAGCGTGTGTGTGTAGACAGATACTGTGCCCCTCTGGACAAGGGGTGGTTCCTTAAGAGGTGTAAACTCCAGCAGCTGAAAATACATTAATCTTCCTTAAATTTTCCAGCACAATCCCAGCAATTCCTCATCAGGTAACGTTTTCACCAGTGTAGCTGCAGAATCTCTCACTGGATCAGTCCATTTGTTTCCTACATCAAAATGCTCTGGCAGAGCAGAATCCTTGATGTTTAGTTTGCTATGAAAAGTAGAGATGCTCCATGACACGGTTTTACTGCAACCTGTGGAATTCTTTCTCCTCATACAGAATTACTACTACTGTTGCTTGTAACATGGACCTGTCAAAATATCCTATGGACACACAAACGTGCAGATTGCAGCTAGAAAGCTGTAAGTATAATGCTCTAGAGAAACCCGACCTTGCTTCAGCTTTGTTTATTCTTATGCAAATGTGTGCCTGGAATATTTGAATTGACCAGAGCGGTCTCCAAAACAGGCTTTTGTTCCTGCAAATACTAATTTCCGACAGAAAACAACTTTCCCTCATCATACTTCAAATGCTTATGTACTAATCCATGGCTTAGAGAATTCCTGTCACCGTGCAATTTCTTACCACTGTAGTATGTTAATAAGTATGGAAATCTCAAGAAAAGGATAGGAAGTCCTGCTGTTAGTTCAACTACAAATTCAAGTATGGCAAAACTCAGTAAGAAGAGACAGCTAAATGCAAGGACTCCAGGAAAATGTAAGAAACCAAAGGGAAGCCACACAGGTGCTGTGCTCAGCAGGTGTGCACACTGCTGCTGCTCTGGTGAGCTCATCCGTGAAGCTCCGAAATGAGGGCAAAACGAACCAGGTTGTGACTTCTGAGATTGCAGCGTAAAGCACCTACAGAAGCACATAGATTTTCACATTAAAATGGCATTGCTTCACTTTAACTTCACTACAAAAAATGGCCCCGGAAGTATTGATGAACCTGGAGCTTGTGTTGCCCCAACATAAAAGTGATGGAATCCTACATCGTTTTCAGTTGCTGCATTATTTCAGTGAAGTTGCATTCATACTGGAGGTTCCATTAGGATAAATGTCCAGAAATAGTGCTATTTAAATATATGATAGATGAATTAACAACAATCTATCATTTATTATAAGGATTTGTGTTGGTAACCACAATTTATAAAACTGTCTAGAAACTTTCAAAAGTCACTTGCTTTGGATTCTGTGTAGGGATTCTGACTGTGAACATCTAATTTTAGGAGTTCATCAAACAGAAGCTCAGGTAATTTGTGTCTAATAAGAAAACACAATTAGATCAAAGTAGAGCAACTGTGTCCTATGCCTTCTACCGGGATGAACAGGTTGTTATCAGTGTAAAAGTGTCCCTACTCATTTTCTCAAAGAAAGGCACTTAATAAAAGAATCGATTCAGTGAGATTGGTGGGCTGATTTCATAAATTAAGTGATGCTTTGGACGCGAGTGTCGCTGGTGACTGAATTCAGGCTTTAGGGTATCCCTCAGACTAACATGAGGTCGTGCTCTGTGTTCCTGGAGGCAGTTTCTCAGCCACTAAAATGGGACTTACTGATACTGCTGGAACTCTTCATCTCCTCTGCCCCAGTGTTTTGGGGCAGCAGTTCAGTGTTGTCTAAACACAGGATGCCTGTTATTAGTCCTCAGTAACTAAAGCCTTGAGGAACAGGAGGAATATCTATGGAAAAAGCTGCCTTTGGGAGCAGGTAGTCCGTGCGTGCGCAGAACAGCCGGGTCACACCTGCAGAGCAGCCTCCTCTCCAGGCTCTCGCCCAGCTGAGCACAAAAACCTCTTTTCTGCTCTTTTAGACCATTTGCATAGGCAGTCCAGCACACGGCGCCGCTTCTCTGCATTAAGAGACTAACAGGGATCTGGATTCTTCTTTTTAACTGCTGCTCTTCCTGCTCTCCCTCTTGTGGCTGCAGAAACCATGCTCTAGGATTCCTCATTTTGCTAGTTTTCATGTCTTAGCACATGTAATCCAACTGGGGATGACAAGAATATTATCTTTGAAGGCATTAAAATATTTTCAAATTGAAATGACCAGTGCTGCAGCACTGTGTGTTGTGCACTGTTCAGTGGTGCGTGTTCCTATTCAAATGGTGGTGGAACCACCAGACTAAAAATACAGACACGGAAAAATCACCAACTTCCTCCAACAGGCTGGGCCAGCAGAAGGGAGGACAGGGCAACAGCTGGGTGTTTGCAGGGCCACCAGGACAACACGGTTCTGTATGTTCTGTGCAGGGGGATACGATGAAAACGATGTGACGTTCACGTGGCTGAGAGGGAATGACTCCGTGCGGGGCATGGAGAAGCTGCGTCTCTCCCAGTACACGGTGGAGCGTTACTACACCCTCGTCTCCAAGTCGCAGCAGGAAACAGGTGAAGCAGTGACAAAATCACGGGAAAAGCCATCTGGAGCATCCCCCCTTCATCAACTTGATATATTTTCAATATATTTTTTTTTATTCTCTGCTTCTTTCCTTCTCTGTGCATACCTGAAAAACACCCTCCCTTCTCCCTGTTCTGCACAGAGCCAGCCCAGCCACGTTTACGATAACACACAGTTTTGATTTTAAAGGACAACTCTAATATGTTTTGATGGAATAAGATCCCTTTGTGCATCCAAATCCAATGTCTGTTTCATCAGCAGTGTAAAAATTCTTCTGTCCTATCACAGAGAGACTATATAAGGAGACAAAACTTCTTTAGAATGACCAAGTTTTAAAAATAAACAATGTTTTGTTGTTTATTGTAGCATACCCAGAGCAAGAACAGCATGGGTTTTGTTTTTACATTTCAAAGGGAACTATTGTTTAAACACCACAAATGTCTCCTGAAAATACTTGCAGTCTAGCTCCAGAATTCATCTGTCACTATTGTGACAAGCCAATTAAAAAAATAGATGAATCTGACTTAATGTTTTTAAGCCCAGAGACCCAGTTATGAAAGATGACAAATTGCTAATGAGTCCATCGGGTCGGAATCGCTGTGGTGGTAAGACAGCAGGATGCTTTGGGATATGAGCCCAGAACCCGCTGAAATTACAAGAAAACCTTTCGTTTATCTCTTGGCGATCAAATAAGACTGAACTTGGCAATGCCCCTTCATGGTGCTTCTTGAGGAAAAATGGGCTGTGCTGAATATCTGAGAATAGATGAAGGCGTCAGCCCTTCTGCGCCGTGAGCTAAGGCTCTGGAATAAGGTCCTTCCTCTGTGCAGTAAGTTCAGGAACCTCTTGAAAGCCACAGATTGTTCTCGATGTCTTTGCCTAATTGATTCTCCTTGCTTACCAGTGCCGTGGATATTCAGTCTCTCATCTAGGATGTGTTACATGAGTAAGAGCACTCAGGCAAGAGGTCAAGCTCATATATATAATACATTTCCCACAGTTTCAGTGACATTTTACTCATATGTGTCAGCTGGAAGGTTTGGTGTTAGGATATTTCAGTTTCGGAATCCCATGTTCACTGTGTTTCTTCCCTTTGTGAACAGGCAGTTACCCACGACTCATCCTGCAGTTCGAGCTGAGAAGGAACGTCCTTTACTTCATTTTGGAGACCTATGTCCCCTCCACTCTGCTCGTCATGTTGTCCTGGGTTTCTTTCTGGATCACGCTGGATTCGGTCCCTGCAAGAACCTGCATTGGTGAGTTATTGCCTACAAAGGGAGAAGATTTAAGGCAGGGGAGCCTCTGATGGTTCAGTAAATGAGGAGCTCTCTGCTCTATAGATATAGGTAAAATGGTCTGCTCACATTCTGCTTTTACTTGAGGCAAAGAGCTGGATTAGAAACGCAAAGAGTGAAGGAAATGCTATGGTTGGCATATCTTCCCACCCACAGAGCTGTGTATGGTTAAGGCTCCTGGCAGATTCACAGCAGAGGTCAGAGCACCTGATCCCTATAACAACCTTGGGGCGGGTTGGGCCTCCTTGCTGAATGAAGGCAATAAAAATAGAGGAGCCTTGTGCCTGATGGACCCAAGCTGCCAAAGGAGGGGAAGCCCTGATTGCTGCAGTCTCTGGGGCTGCTCTTCTCAGAAGACTCCCATTTATGCCAGTGGGGTAGCTCAGCTGATGGATGATTTGTCCTCTTGGCTAGCAATAGAAGGTAGCACCATGTGCAGAATGATAAGCCAAGCTTTCTTCAAAGTGTCCACAAGTGAAATACTCTCCTTTTCTGCTTTCTAAGGAGTGACAACGGTCCTTTCTATGACAACTCTGATGATCGGCTCACGAAGTTCACTTTCCAAAACCAACTGTTTCATTAAGGCTATTGATGTTTATCTCGGCATCTGCTTCAGCTTTGTCTTCGGGGCCCTTGTGGAATATGCAGTGGCTCATTACAGCTCGTCACAAAAATGTGCAGCTAAAGAACCTCCAGAGGTAAGGCCTGGCCTTGCTTAATAAGAACAGTCAGCTTGGATCAACAGCAATTAGTCCTCCATTAGGTGAAATAAATGGCTTTCCTGTTAGGGGTTGAGTAACAGCTGCTTCTGATTGTCCGTAAATGTAACGTTTTGTGTGTAACAGACCCAGTGTTGATAGTCATGAATAGTGCTAGGCCTTTGGCTCTCTGCCTTAGATGTTTGTCACGCCACCTTCAAGACCACATTGAGGAAAGGACTTCAGCTGCCCCCTCGAATAGGGTCTGACCTCCTGTGTCGTGTGTGAGAGTGTGAAGCTCGAATTCACAACAAGCTCCGTGTCCTGTGGGAGCACGATCCCATCGGCGAACAGGCAGGGAACACAGGAATGAGGCTGCAAACTCTGGGCTGCAGGAAAAGAAACCTTTGTTGCGTATCTGATTTTAGGCAGTCAGGCAGAGGTTTTTCTTCCTTTCCTAAAACTACTTGTGGGCAGCTGTTCCTCTCAAAACGCAGCCAAAGGAAGAGCCATATAGTACACATCTCTCCTCTATGCTATAAGCCTGTGATTAGAACATGTTGCTGGAAGGTCATTTCCTCTGCCAGAGGAAGAGTGAATCCTTATTTACCCCTTCCCAGAAGACACTACCCATGGTCAGTTCATACAGTGTTCTCAGGGGGTTGTTATAGAGGGTGAATTGTTGAAAAAACTCTACTGGGAGCAAGTAAATATTCAAGCATGCCTACAGTCCAGTGGTCACAGAGGGTCCAAACCCTGCAGAGAGAAAAGAGGTTGTCCAAATCACCTGTGGGTTCCCAAACCATGAAGTTACTGTGCAGAAGGTCTCCTGCGCTAATGTTTTGCACCATCCTAGGAGCAGGTTTGTGCAGCCAGCGAAAGAGGGGAAGGTCTTGTAAGAGATGGTGTCACTGAGCAACCTGATATCCAAGAGCAAGACTTGCTCAAAGTAACTGAGATCCCACTCATACATACTGTGGAAATATAGGCCCCTTCTGGGACTTCAGGCACCGCTAGAAATAGGGAGCAGTTAAAAATCAGGTTGAAATTCTGAAGCTTTCAATGGACAGGGCTGAAGCTGTGTTCTTGTGTGCTTATGTCTTTGGTCTCTCTGTGAACCAAGCTGTTTTCCTTTATGGGAAAAACCAATCCCCAAACTATTGTTGTTTCCTAGGGGCCTGCAAGTGAACTTGCTAAAGAAATGGAAGAAGTCAACATCACCAACATCCTCAACAGCTCCATCGCCAGCTATAAACGGAAAATCAGCTTTACCAGCATTGAGATTTCTAGTGATAACATCAACTGCAGTGACCTGACCATGAAAACTCATGAGAAAATCAAATTTGTCCTGAGAAACAAAATGCACAGGATTATCAGTTATTTCACTATTCAGAACCCCAGCAACGTTGACCACTACTCTAAATTGCTTTTCCCTCTGTTCTTCATGTTGGTCAACGTGCTTTACTGGGCTTATTATCTCTATTTTTAGAAGCAGTGGGTCACTTGCTTCTCCCGCTTCCGTGGAACAGGTGGGTATCTCGGTAGGTAGCCTCAGCGAACCCAGTGTGAACCAAGGGCTCTGTTGTGTTTCCTGGGATGTGGAGCTGAGGAGCCTGGTTGTGTGAGACACAAAACCCTGGTGTTTCAGCAGCAGTGACGTTGACCCTGGGTTGTTGTCCGCTCAGCTGAGTCGCTGCCCATGCTCATACCTGCCCTGCATTCCCAGCCTCTCATCCGCGCTGGAGCCGGGCATGGCTGTCTGCATGTGGCAGGCCGCAGAGCACCAGGGCTAGCACCTTCCCTGTTTTCCTGCCAAACAGATTATCCTCCACGCTGGAGAGCATCTCCTCCCGCTCCCACTGCTCCGGGCAGCTCCTGCTTCTTGCAAGAGCGGCCACTTTGTCCTCCCCTCCTTTCCGTGGCTGCGGAGCATCGCGGTGTCTCTGGGTGCACACCAAGGTACAATGATCCAAGCAGCTTTTCGCCCCAGCCACGCGGCGTAGCTGACGGGGTAAGTGCCTGCCCCAGAGTCCTACTCAAAAAGCTGCACTCCTGGCATCGCACATGCTGGTCGGCCGGTTCTGCACGTGCACGTGCTGCGTTCAGCTTGCAGGTGGGTGCTCTTTCATTTTTAGTGCATGCCAAACGTTTCTGGGCACAGCACATGTCTCACAGTGAAGCGTGGGAGACTTGAGGGGAAAGGATGGCCCGGGTGGGACAGGAGTGATTTCAGATTCCAGCTCCTCTGCAAATTAGATGTCTTTAATTCTTCCAAAGAAAAGGGGAAAGGCAAAAACCTGCAATGCAAGGGATTAACCTGGCTTGAAAAAGCAGTTTGTCATCTTTACACAGTATCTAAATACAGAACTATACATTAAAATATTATACCCCAGGGTCACTCCACTATTAACCATGCAATCCTAAGCCAGATTTGCCTGGCGCATTCTGCTGGGAACAGCAGGCATATTTTCAAGGTAGTCCTTGTAAACTCCAGGTGGTGTCAGACCTTGCAGGGGTTGGCTTGAAGCAGACCCCATCGCGAGTGCATTTTTGTGTCCATGCTGAATATTGATTTAATGTTTTAAGATAGCTAATGTTTTTAATACTCTGGATTTAAGTTTTGGTTGGAAGGCTTTTTTGTTGGTGTATGAAAAACAGTTTAATGCTCATCTTATGCTAAATCAGTCGAGTTTTGCCTAGCTCAGCCCCACCTGGGGGCCCTGCCCAAGCACAGGGGGCACTTGGGCTTCAGCTGAACTGCATCCGTGAGCCCAGCATCGTCCCGGTGCGGGGTCCCGGAGCGAGAGCAGTACCTGGTTCTCGGCTTGGAAAGAGCATGGGAAACTGTATGGATTTTCCTTTTGACTTTTAATAACTTGTTATCGAACCACTTTGCCATGCTGTATTGTGAAGGATCTGGGCCACATATTCATAAATCATGGGGTTTATAACGAGCGGAAGGCAGAGGGGCGCAGGCTGACACTGGCGAGCAAACGAACACAAATTCCAATAATGAAATGTTGGCTTGTATATACTGGCATTTACACCCCGTTCCATAAAATGTAATAAAGTGAATGTTTGTGATATGAGCGCAACCCCCTAGAGAGATCTTCTATTAAAAAAAAAAAAAAAAAAAAAAGCCTTTTTCTGTGTCAGTTTTCTTCTTTAAAACCCAGGTAAAATGCCCTTGACTCCTACCCCAGCCATCAAATATTCACATTACCAAAAGGCACTTCTTTGTAGACTAGGAAGGGGTGGGGGCTGCCAGGGTTGCTTTTATTATGTGTAGCTTTTGCTATAACTTTTCTGCTTTGAAGTTGCTCCTGACTTGTTGAAAGAAATCCCCGCTCCTCAGGAATGGTCTTTGCTGACCCTGCTTGGTGAACACGATGTTGACCTGGCAGGTTCCTGGTCTCTTTTTCTTCCTTCCTTTCCTCTGTTTATAGTTAAAACAGGGCTATGCTGAAGTTGAGTATCTTCCCAGGCTGTGCTGGGATCTTGTGCCACCCGCATCTCGCGCGGAACCAACGAGCCTTGAGCCTCATCGTTCGCTATGTGGACTCATCCCAGCCGGTACCGGCACAGCGGGAAGCGTGTGGGAGACAGGATCTCAGCCTGGAGGAGCCACAGGTTTCCTTTGCAGGAGAACTGAGGATTTGGCTCAGGAATCCTGTTGTTTGAGGGCATGTGGTTTATGTTACCGTGGCCAAAAGGTATGTGCAAACCACACTGTCTGCTGCAGGGAACACTCCGTGTTTTTTAAAAAGGTTAATTCCACCTTAAACATATTCATTGCTGGTTTCAGTAATGGCTCTTGCTTTCAGTGTTTATTAGCACAATGTACAGCCAGCTGGAAACTTGCGTCTTTACAAAGAAAGACTCTCTAGAGGTGGCAGTTGGCCCACGTTTTCTCTGAACTTTCTCACTGAAATAACTTTTACAACCATTGAAGCATAGAAGCTGGTCTAAATTATGACGTGTTGCTACTCTTGGGGTCAGACTCTGGTTTCATCATTAATCTGAGGTGAGTGCTAAGTCTGTAATGAATGTCAGTGCATGGAAATGCAGGCTTGCTTTGATAGGCTGCAAAAGTCAATGTCGTGCCTTATTTTCTTGATTGGATTATAATCGTGAATCAGAAAACTGTATTTTGGGAGCATTCACCAACCAGGCCTAACATTTGGGTGCTCGTCCCTGCTCATAAGCTGATTTAGCAGCAGAATTGCGAATCGTAACCCAAGAAGGGAAGGAGATGCTGGCAAAGCAAGTCCAGCCGAATGTGACAGTACGAGCGGCCCTTTTCTTTGGAGAGATCCCAGGCCCTTAGCACGGATGCGTGTCCACAGGCACAGAGGTGGGGCTGGAGACAGCGCCCCGGGCAAGCCCGGGAGTCCCCGAGTCCCTCCGGTTCTGTTCGACTCCAGGAGGAGGGATTTGGATGGAAACGGACACGTTCATTCGCATGTTTTTTTTAGTTCCTCTGAGTTACAAAACATGCTGATTTTCAATCATCTCGCTCTCCGTTGTGTTTTTGTTGGATCCGGAGGCCCACGAGCCGCTTCCCCAGACACAGGGACACGAAATGGGAACCCCGAAGCTGGGTCAGCCCGTGTAGGCGGCCGCGGCCATCGCTGCAGGCCCCTTCAGCCCTCAGCTTGCCCAGCCTGATGAACATGCCCCCTGCTCAGCCTTGCTTTGGAAACAAGGTCTTTTTTTGGCAGGGAGATTTCCCTCCCCTCTCATCCACCTTTTTTGTTTAGTTTGGCCCTGTTTCGTGCCTTGTCCCTGGTCCCAGAGCTGTTTTCCTCTTGCTTTCTAGGAACTGCCTGCGCAGGCTCCGCAAGTAGGAGAGGAGCGACCTCCAGGAGAAGTGAGAGCTGCTCCTGCATCGGCTCTGGCCTCTCGAGGAGCATCCAGGAGGCTCCAGCGCCGCTAGAGGAGGGCTGAGCCCATCTCCCCGTGAAAGCCGAGCTGGCACGAGACAACTTGGCTTTTCCATAGGAAGAGTAAGTTTCCCAAGAGAAGCCGCATCCTCGTGGAGGCACCACGAACTTTGGCAGTTGGGATCCAGCCCCCAGCACCGCTGCCCCCGGCCCCACGCAGTGTTTGGGAAGAACCAGTTGCTAAAACTGGAGGTACCAGTGGGGCCGTTGGCGCCTCCTCCTTGGGCCTTTTCTGGCCTGGCTGCAGGGTTTGGGGTGGGAGGGGAACCCTGATTCCCTTTGGAGACAACTATTTTGTGCAAGATCCGGGCACCCTGGAAACAAGCAGCTACTTTTTGCTAATGAGACTTTCCATTATAAAGTTTCCATTGCTTTGAAAAATATTAACTTTGCCAGGTAGCTCAAACAGGCCCTGCAGTTACAGCTAGAATATCCCAAAGATTTAGTTCCCAGTAATAAGAGGACTGAACCACCGCACTGCCCAAGGCTAAAACTATATTATTTGAAATGAAACTTCTCATAAATATCCAACAATGAAGTCATTTTATATCAGCTGCTCTTATATAAACTGGACAAGGCAAACTGTCCTATCTGCAGCTGTCAGCAGTGCCAGGAACGACTCTGTATTCGCTGCCTGCAGAGCTCAGAGCTGCCTCTCCCTTCGGATTCGACCTCCTGAGAACTTTGCTGGCACCGGCGACCGCTGGAGCCACCAGGGTCATCCTTGACTGTAAACATCCTCTTGTCCCCTCTTGCTGTCTCTGTGGTGGGAGCTGATGGACAGATACCCACGAGCACACCAGGAAAACGTTATTTTTCAGCCCTGTGTTAAGCTGGACCTTTCTGCAGTGAAGCAAGGCACCATCTTTAGCAAGAGGCACCGTTTGGAGCGTGGCCTCTGCTGAGGTAAAACGTGACGTGGGAAAGCCCTGGGGTCTGTGCAAAACGCTCTTTGTGTTACTCAAAATCAAGGTGAGAAGTGGGGGCCCTTCATGCCACGCTCCCTCCCAAGGAGGGAGACTGGAGAGCAAAATAATGATTTTCCATTTTAAGCTTATGAAGACAACAATTTAAATATATATGTCATATGATTAAAATATGTAAAATTTATAATTTAATTATACAATTACAGAGCCTTATGGTCTAATAACCCCACTGCATTTCGCCTGCTCGTGAACAATTGCTTTCTTAAAGCACACAGTAGAACCATTTACCTGATGCTGGAGAATAAGTTAATTATGGATCTCCTGCCTTTGACTAATAGATTTAATAATCACGTTACAGCAGAATTAACTTATAGTTCATGTGCTTACAGCGCTAATGACCAGGTTCATGAAAGCCGCGTGTCGTTGAGGGGATCAGCACCCAACAAGGCCCTTGCAGAGACGCCGGCCCGTCGGGGGGCTGCAGGTCTGCCCTTCTGCCGGCACCCAGCGCTTGGGCCTCTTCTCCTGTTAATCCCTCTGGAAACGGCTACCGGATTTCAGGTATAAACACACCCTAACAGAACAGCATGATTTCCAAACCCTGCTTTTCCTATTCAAGCAGGGGAACTGGTGAGGGATGGCGAAGGTAGGATAGTAACCTCAAAACTTGTGCTTTGCTTTTACTTTTTGCAGGGACTTTGCATGGATAAGTCTGGCCTACGAGTCTGAAACATCTGCATGGTGCTTACAGAGGGCAGGAGCCAGACCTGGAGACCTTTCCGTAAGGAAAACTCCCACTGAGGCAAATAAAAACAGACAGAAGAGTTAAGAATGAGCCCCCAGTCTGAGCCACCTGCACAGTGTTTTGTCCGAGCAAAAAGTATCTCAGGAATTAGTAGCAACAGGATTTCAGGTTGCATCAGCCATGTACCGCATCTTGCCATGCAAAGCTGAATAATGCAACACAACTCAGCAGCTTAGCATAACACCGGGCCACGAGAAGGAGGCAGGAAATGAATAGGAATACAATTTCCTAAACTATTCACTTAAAGAAATTACTCTGCAAGATTTTTGCTCTGGTCCTGGTGGAAGCAACAGTCTGAGGGAACGGGAAGAGCAGGGAAATTTTTGTTCTTTTCGCCCGCTGCCCATTACCCAACTCAGCTGTGCAGTTTTGGGGCCTGCGCAGAGCATCACCTCCCCGGAGCAGCGGCGGCAGGTTCAGCCGAGGGGCTCATTTGACCTGGTTTCCGGTTTTCATGGCCGTTTTGGGGGGATCGTATCTGAAAAGGGGTGGTGTACTTTGTTTTGCTTCTCCAACTAGTCTCCTGCTTGGGGTTCTGGGGCCAGGCTACTAGCTCAGATGCAGAGCAGCACATTAGGTAATCTGGGGCTTGTGAGAACAATTAATGCTTTTTTTTCAGCCATACCCACAAAGCAAGCTTCAGAAATCAGATGCGTACTGAAATATCACGTGTTTTGTTACTGAACCAGCTGAGACTGTGCCTTCATACGTCACACTTGGCAAAGTGAGTGTGACTGTGTGGTTTCCTGCGCTTCATCCCCAGCTTTCCCATCCGCCCCATCCGCATGTTTGCGTTGCTCCCCTTTGCTTCCCAGCCCGTCACAGGTGAGCTCAGGAACTGCTGGGCAAAACAGCCTTCAGCTGTAGAGTATCGCGTGGCGCCTGCTCCAGGGAGACCACAAGCTTGCCTGCTTTTCAGGTTACAGGCTAAACCCACCACGAGATCCCTGCTCAAGTACTAGAGTATTAGATCAATGCAAAACGTGTTTACTAGTTATGGTAGGGTTCCTCAGTGGCAGCACTGCAGTCTTAGTTGATGTTGCTTCACCAGGGCCTTTTTGGTGCTCAGCACTCTATGGCAGTGGCACAGGACCTTGTGTATTTGTTTTCCAGCCTCCAAATCCTGTGTTATGAGGAAAGAGGTGTGTGAAATTCAGTGGTCCCCTGGGCAGTGCTGGGCTCCACTGGGCTGTGCAGCTTTGGGGGTCATGTAAGGCTCAGCAAATCCCTGAGTCACCCCCACAGTGACTTATTTGGCTGTAGGCACGAATAAAAAGAAATGGACAGTGATGACTAGACCCTATAATGCAAAACTAAAATGTCCAATTAGCATCTGATGAGGAAGTGTGAAATAAGATGCACTAAGCAGATTAAGAAGGTGTGACATTAAATCAATTTCCCATTAAATTAACTGGTTACTTTTTTTCCTGATTCTCAATACTAAAAGCATCGATTTACTCTGTTGAAGTCTGATTCCTTGCTGTTGAGCTGTGACTACAGGGTGTGCGAATTGGGGGTGCTTCACCTCTGCCTCCAAGGAGCGTAAGACGCGCGCCCAGCGTCAGCGGTGCCCATGCAGCGGGGGAGACGTCTTCCCCTTGGCTCTGCGACGGGGGGGAGCAGATGGGGATAGCAGGGAGCAAGCCCAAATCCTCTGCTTTACAAAGCAAAGTGTAAGAGAGAACCAGAAATGACACTGCAAGCCCCTCTCCCTAAAACGCTGGGAGTTCATGTATGGAAAAAATGCAGGGTATCGCAACCCTTCTTCGTCTTCCTTGGAACTGCCAGTGTCGATGCATTGTAGGAAGCAGAAAGATGCTGTGGAGAGGTGAGTGAGGCATCGCCCGCAGCACGGCCTGCTCCTGGCGCGCTCCGAGGACACCGCGGCGGCTCCGACCCGCGCGCCCTGGAGAGCCACCCGTGTGGAGCGGCGGGTTGCAGCGAGGGCAAGAGAGGAGCGAGGGCAGGGGCTTCTTCCATGGGTCTAAGCACCCGTCAGCTTAAATCCAGGAGTTCAAAGCCAACTCCTGCTGTCCAACTCCCTGCCTTGTAAAGAGGGACAGTATTAATGTTAATTCAGAAACACCTAGTTGAGAGCATTAATGCATGAGTTGGGGTGTTAGACCTTGCTCTGGTCTCAGAGCGAGATGTTATTTCAGCAGCACCGAGTTGAGAGCATTAACGAGTGAAATTTGGTGTTGCTCTGGTCTCCCTAGCACAGCCTCAGCCCTCCAGGCATGTCCTGGTACCTGGGGTGCTACTTTCTACTCACACTTGTGTTTTTGGGACCTTCTCTTCCAGCCAATGAGCAAAAAACCACCCCAAACGAGACAAGTACATTAATACTTCACTTCTTTGCTTTCCCCGAAGGAGCCGGTTCCCCTGCGGCAGCGGCTGCGTTCCCCGCGCTGTCGCGCCGCGCGGTCGGCAGGGGCAGCCTGGGCTCCAGCCTGCCTTAGAGCACAGCCCGTGGCTCCGCACGCCGCCTCTTATCAGTTCCAGACTAGAACTCCGATGCTAATATTTCTTCCTTAAGCCTGTGTTTGCAGGAGAACTGGAAATCTCAAACAAAAAGGGATTGTGACGTTGCTCGCTTGCATTTTTTTTTCCCTCCTGGCTTTCCTCCAAGGACCTTTCCTGCTTGTTTGCTGCACTCTCAAGATGAAGCCCCCGGCGGCTGTGGCGGTGCTGGCTGCCCTGGTGCAGGTTTCGCAGACTTTCCCTGCCTTGCACCACCGAGCTTGGTGGAGGCTGCTGAGGGAAGGAGGGAGCTGCGGCCAGTGCGACCCGGCCCTCTGCTCGGAGCCCACGCACTGCCCCGCCGGCACCGTCCTGGATCGCTGCGGCTGCTGTCCGGAATGCGGGGACGCGGAAGGCCCGATCTGCGACCTGGACCCGGGCAACCACTTCTACGGGCAGTGCGGGGACAACCTGGAGTGCCGGCTGGACGAGGCGAGTGTCGGGGAGGTGCCGGAGCCCCAGTGCGTGTGCAAGGCTCAGGAGAGCGTCTGCGGCCCCGACGGGAAAACCTACGAGAACATCTGCCAGTTCAGCAAGGCTCACGCCGCGAGAGGGAACGTCAGCGTGAAGCACCGGGGACCCTGCGAATCAGGTACCGCACATGGAGATGATTCCAAATGAAAGGAAGAGCTCTGTCTGATTTTAGCTGCGTTACTAAGTGCTGCAGCCTAGCTTCAACAAGCTACTATTGCATTTTGGTGATAATTTCATTATTCTGTGGCAATCCTACTTTGTGCTTAAACATGCATCTCAGCAGGAGGTGCTTAATTTTATATGTTTTAAGCCTCTCTATTAGCCCAGAGGGTTTGATATCACATGGCCTCTGATAAGCCACGGCCCTACAGCCCAGCTCCGAGTGGGCAGCGCATGCAGCTGCTTTCACAAAAATGTTGTGTGTCGTTGGAACTAGATGAGCAGATGGGTCAGCTAAATGGTGCACCAAGGAATGGACAAATATATGAGGAGTGATCTGATATTTATAGGGTGACAGCAAGTCAGACATCGTCTATGTATGTCTGCCTGTATGTATGATATATGGTAATCTGTGAAGTAGAGGGACTAGAATAAGCTCCCAGGTTTAATTATAGAGGTCTGTTCTTGTTGTTAAAAAAAAAAAAAAAAATCCAATGTAGGAACCTTTATAAAACCTGAGCGCCTGCTGGTTTAGTATTTCAAATACTGGGACAAAACCAAAGACATTTCCAACCATGCTGACTGCAGGAACTGCTGTCTGAGGAACAGGGTTAGTGTTGTGCTTAGCCAGGTTGTACAGGAGAGGCTCATCTCCTGCTCCCAGGCTGTACTCACACTGTGCATGACTATAAGTCTTTACTCCCGAACACCTTTCATAAACACCTAAGTCACGAGAATAGAAAATGAAAAGTGAAAAGTTAAGAGTTGTGTTTTGAATTTTTTTTTTCTTTAAGTTAATGTTTTCTCAAATGAAGATGAAGTCTTTGGGTCACAAACGGGTCACAGTTCTGGGAAAACCACATCTAAAATCACATCTCTGGCAAGGGTCTATGCATGAGAATCACTTGGGTGCCCTTTGCCACTCCTTGCTAGCAGTTTGTTGCTTCCAGGTTAGACTGTATGCACTGTTTTTATAGTGGATGAACACTGTATACTGAGTACTTAAAAGGAAAGGCGATGAGCAGCTAGTACCAGATTTCTTTCTTCTTCCTCTGTTTGGAAGAGACACATCTGTAAGAGAATCCCTTATCTGCCAGGACAGCCCTAAACGGAGCAACGAGGCTCATCAGTAAAGAGATGTTAAGAAAACTCAGTGCAAATCAGCTAACAGTGTGACTGAAAACCTGCTAGGTCCTGGGCAGACGCTCTTATTTGGCATTAAAATAGCGCTAATTCCTGCAGCATAACCCTCGCGGGAAGATGTCACTTGGAAGTGCTGCTCTGACAACAACTCATCTTAACTTTGCAGTCGAGGCGGCAGTCATAGCATCCAGGGGTGAACTCTGAATGCTTAAACACCCCTGGCCGTGTACAAGAGCTTTGGAAGCTCTGGCCTTTTTAACTGGTGGTGTTGCCACCCACCAGGCCCTGGAGCCCCTCGGAGGCCCTTGTTCCTGCTGCTTGCTCACTGTGCTGGGACCAACTGCTCTGCATCACCCCAGGGCTTCCCTAGCGTTCCCCCCTTTCCCTGGAAAAGCCAGCCCATCTTCAGGAATGAGGGAGGGCACGAGGGAGGGCGCAGCGACTCGCACGGCGGGCGCCAGGCCCTGAGGAGCAGCCTGGCACGAGGAACAAACCCGGCACGGCTGCTTTGGTACCGCTCTGTGAATACAACCTCCGCTCAGCTCCAAGGCCCTGCTTCTGTTATTTCCCCTTCAAAGCATCTGCTGGGTCCTATTGATGCCAAATGGATTAATTGTAGACAGCAACTGCTGAACAAATGAAAAACAATAAACCCCTTTCAGCAGAAGAGGATAGCCTTTCATCTTTTGTCTGTTGCCAGAAAAAGGAAAAGCAGGGGGGGAAAAAAGGCCAAGCTCCCTAAAAGTTACAGTGTGAAAAATCCCTTCTTTTCCTCAAACACCAGTTTTGGTCAGTTTCTCCAATAATTTATCCAAGTACATCGACTATATACAGATTCTGCAGGCTTAATCCATCCCCATTCAAACCTGCCTTGCTGCTGAGTTTGCAAAGCAATGGAAGAATCTGGCAGGGAGTCTTGCTATAATTATCTGTGCCCACATAATAGTTTAGTTTAATTGTATATTCGGGGGTAAACCTCAAATCATCAACATTTCTGCTATTGTAATCACATCAGGCATAGAAGTATTGTGATGCTACTAGAATACTACACCCTGACTTCACTTTCCTGCTGTAATACTCATGTTTTTTATTTTATTTCTGAAGGCACTTGGAGTTTGGTTAAATAATGTGAGTACCTGGTGACTGTTCAGATTCAGAAAGGGCCGGTTGATGGGATCAAACCTGTGGCTGTTCCCTGGGGCCCTGTGTTTGATGTCACA